TATGTATACGAAATGCATAAGAAATAAAGTTGTTTAGAATATGTTAAACTTTTACTGTTTTGTGCAAAGCTACGCAATGGGCTATCTGTGCTCTTCCAATCGCTGGTATCAAACGCAGATTTTTAGCGTTATAAGCCCTTAGAGTTGCCGCTGAATCACCGAGGTGGGGGTAAATGTGTTAAGTATTGCGATATTATGACAATGGGCATTATTAAACTAAAGAATATTTATTTCATACAGAAATACACAATACGATAAAGGGGCTGCTTTTGCTTTGCTCAAAGTTATAACTAGGCTTTATATGGGCAGTACATTTTGTTTTATCTCTTTGGAAATATAGAAATTAAAAAGTGAAGAGTAGATCGAATAAATTTACTCGAGCATCTAGACATATTAATTTACTTGTTTTAGGACTGAGAACGAATAGATTTACTATGGCATCTAGACATATCAATTTACTTGTTTTAGGACTGAGAACGAATAGATTTACTCTGGCATCTAGACATATCAATTTACTTGTTTTAGGACTGAGAACGAATATATTTACTCTAGCATCTAGACATATCAATTTACTTGTTTTAGGACTGAGAACGAATATATTTACTCTAGCATCTAGACATATCAATTTACTTGTTTTAGGACTGAGAACGAATAGATTTACTCTAGCATCTAGACATATCAATTTACTTGTTTTAGGACTGAGAACGAATAGATTTACTCTAGTATCTAGACATATCAATTTACTTGTTTTAGGACTGAGAACGAATAAATTTACTCGAGCATCTAGACATATCAATTTACTTGTTTTAGGATTGAGAACGAATAGATTTACTCTAGCATCTAGACATATCAATTTACTTGTTTTAGGACTGAAAAGGAAATAATACGATATGCAGGATAGAGATTTTAAAGACAATATTTGATTAGTCTGATTAAAGCACTTAAAGAAACGGTTTTACTATAGACAGCTCTATTATGTTCAAAGTGTTTAATGGATTCTAAAACTTTCTTAGTTAGTCTGATAAAGCTCTTTTAAAACATGAGATTAGAGATGTGCATATTACAAATCATATTTAAATTATAGTTTCAATGAATATTCCTATTAGAATTGATAACTTTACATAATTCTACACCTTCATCACTTATAGAAAATACAAAAAAGTAGTATTTATTTTCAAAGAGAATAATACAGGATGGTCTGCTGACAAGATCATTAGAAGCTGTGACGAGGATGAAGATTTGTGTGTTGACGTAAGTAAGAAGCTGGTAGACTATAACATGCCCAGTAGTATACAAATAGAAACCAAACATGAACAATTAAGAGTTAATTATTTTCATAAGTAGTCAGGAACAAATGCCCAACTGTCGTCCTTTAGCTATATTATGGTGGACTGGTAGATAAAACTATTTACTATTTAGTGTCTGTGTCTATGTCTGATAACACAGGCCAGCGATGGTTTTATTGTCTTGAATTTTTACACGTTCTACAGTAATTTCGGTACGTTGAATCCGAAAAGGATATCCATTTTTCTCCATCACGTACAGACTTTTCACAAAACGTCGTATGTACTTTTACACAACATGTAGTTTTTGAGACTAAAAGACGTAGATTTCGCACGAAAAAATCAGGATGAATGATGATGCATATCG